TATATATATATATGAACTGCAGTAAATTGTTTCCTGGAGATACTGAAGTTTGCAGTGTGCCATATATGACTGAGGCCTAGAAGAAAGATACAGAGAAAATAGTCCTCCTGTCCAATAGGGCCCGTATGCTTCCAGCTTCCATAGGATGAGAGGAGACATGAGAGCGTGCTGCACCCCTCCCCCCAACCCTGCCACCTATTCCTGCTTTGGGACCACATAGTCTTGCGTAAGAAAAAGAAGGAAGTCATCTTGTAAATGGTCACCATCCTGTTGTCTGGACATGAAGGAAGAGATGTGATCTCAGGGAAGCTGCAGGAGCAGAAGGCTGCACTGGATTTCCTGTCAGAAGTAGAGTCTTCTACTTGCATAAATAATAAATCCCACCAAAGAGCCCCTCTACTATAGATTGCTTGAGAACAGAATTCAGTATTGAGTGAGTTTATCCTTGACCCCTTCCAGTGGATAGTTACTTGGCAACAGGAAAATCAACATGGTTCATGTGATACTGCGGAGTCAGCAGCAGGAGACTTAGTCTCAGAGGCATTAATACCAGTCGCCCCCTCACCCCACATATAAATACCTCATGACTAACGGCTCATATTTGCAAGACATTGCCCAGAGCCAGAGGGAAAGTTGTGGCCTTGTAATGAAGAAATTACTGAGTTACCTGAAGTAAAACCCATGTCCTTGACCTGATTATTCCAGTATGCTGCTAAGCAGCTGAACTAAGTACCTTTGGCAATCAAAATAATAATTCAAACAGAATTCGGGACTTTTCAGCATTGTTATGTCACCTAGAGGGTTCTGTCCCAATGATGGAGTTTTGATAGAACTGGCTAATATGTCATTTGCCTTTTGTTTTGTGGTGTTTAAGAGATTAATTAATTAATTAATCTATCTTTTTTTTTGGTACCGGGTATCGATTTCAGGTCCTTGCACTTGCGAGGCCGGTGGTGGAACCACTGAGCTAAATCCCCAGACCTATCTATTTTTTTTTGAGACAGGGTCTCACTATGTAACCCAGGCTGGCCTCAAATGCAAGGCACTCCTCCTACCTCAGCCTCCCAATGGTTGTATTACAAGTGTGTTACCGAGTCTAGCTTGTAGTGTGGTTTAAATCAAATATATATGAATTTATTTTTTGTATGTATGGTACAGGGGATTGGACCCAGGGCCTTCACAATGAGTTATATTGCCAGTACCTGTTTTACTTTTTAGAGATAGGGTCTGGTTAAGTTGAGCAGTCTGGGTTCAAATTTGTGATCTTACGTCAGCCTCCCAGCATGGTAGGATTACAGGCATTCACTATCATATCTAGCTACAAATTACTTTTTAAAAATACTGTACCTTTGCTGGGTGTGATGAGCACCACCACACCCAGCACGTTAATAGTTTTTTGTTTATTTGTTTGCTTTTTTGTACCGGGGATCAAAACGTTAATGGTTTTGCTGAGACAGGGAGAATGAAACTTTTCACTGTATTTCTTTCTCATATCACTTTGTGAAATTTGAGCCTGAAGAAAATAGCCTATTGTTGGTCCAGGGATGTAGCTCAGTGGTGCTGTGCCTGCCTGGCAGGTGCAAAGTCCTGAGTTCAATCCCTGGTAGTGGAGAGGGAAAAGAAAGAAAGAAAGAAGATAGCCTATCATTGCTGCAGTACGAGTAAGCTGTGTTCTCCCTGTGTTCCAAATCGCGGATTCCCAAGTGATTGATTATAAAATCAAAAACACCCTACAGACACATCCGACAATTTCCCTTGATTCTTCTCAACCAAGCGTCATTACCAGAGTCCTGGTAAATGTCCCTATTACTAAGAAAATAGTCTCCTCCTCCTCCTCCTCCTCTTTCTTCTTTTTTTTTGTACTGGGGATCGAACTTTGGTCCTTGGGCTTGCGAGGCAGGCAGCAGCACCACTGAGCTAAATCCTGGGCTTTTCTTCCTTTTTAAATGACTTCACAATTTATCTGCCATCCTTTATTCTACTTATAGGCAACAAATAACAGTTACATAGGGTCAAGTCGATGGGCTTTTGGTTTATAAAGTCTCCTATCCTTGAGCCAAACCTTCCTCAATGCTCATGCCAAAGCTAGGCCCACAGTGATGCTTTTGTACCCTGGGCAGGTCAAGGATATCTGTCTTCATATTTTTCAGTTCTCACTACTACAGTTTCCTAGTCAAAATGCTTTCTATATTCTTGCTCTGCAGATTTAAAACTTTGCTACTGGTGATGACTGGACACTTTAGAGCCACCTGTTTCTCTCTTCAACTGAGGTGGCCAGTCAGTTGCCTCAAATCTATTTAATACACCAGAAGAACAAAGGCAGACTTGACAAAATGTCCTAGTACCTCATTTCTCAGAGAGCTCCTCACAGGTACAGAAACATGCATCATGCATCCATATAGCCAAAGCTGCTATAACACTGTTAAGAAATGTGCCTGCCCCCAGCTGGGTGTAGTGATGCCCGCCTGTAATCCCAGCACTCTGGGAGACTGAGGCAGGAGGACAGCAACTTTGATCCCAGACTGGGCTCCATAGAGACCCTGTTAAAAAGAAAGAAAGAAAGAAATGTGCATGGGAACACAGACCTTAAATTAGGCTGCAGGCCAGAAAATACTTTTAATGCAAGTAGAAAGGAAAAGTCCGTTTCATCATCTTCCTTGCTCTTGTTCCATGGACTCCTCTTTCCTGTGATTCTGAGCAGGTAGGCGTGCCGGCCATAGCTCTGAGGTGGCTGTCCACGTGGGAAAGAGGTTCTCATATTGGAAGTTTGGTTCCAGACCCAGAAGAATGCCAGAGTCCTTTAGATCTGGGAGCAGACATAAAACAATAAAATAATTTATATGTGGTTCATTGCCTCAACTTATCTCTCTCTCATTTTTTTTCTGGTACCAGGGATTGAATTCAGGACTTTGTGCTTGCAAGGCAGGTGTAGTGCCACTGAGCTAAATCCTCAGCCTGATCTCATTTTTTTTTAAGCGAACATTTCTTGACATATTTTAGATATACATAATGATCACATTCATCATAAGGAATTTGTACCTGTACATGATGTATCTTGCTTTTTTCCCATTCATCCTTCCCTTTAACCCTTCTTCCCCTCCATATTTACAAAAATTTTGTTTCCATTTTTTCCTTCTATCCTCTTTTTCCTTGTCCTATCTTTCCTCTCTCTCTCCTCCCTTATTCCCCTTTTCATTTAAACGTTTTCTTCTCATTTCCCAGTATCTATTACACATTTTAATCCTTATTTTACTTTCAGTTTCTCACACCAGAGAAACAATGTGGTATTTAAACATGTGTGTCTGATTTATTTCCCTTAAGAATATGGTCTCAAGGTGCATCTATTTAGCTAGAAATGTCTCAAGCCTTTTCTTCTTTATGGCAGAGTAGTACTCCATTGTATTAAAAAAGCCACAGCCTCTTTATCCAGTCATTGGTTAGTGGACATTTGGGTTGTTTCCAAGGTTTAGCTATTACAAACTGTACTGTTATAAACATGGGTATGCATATATTGTGGTAGTATGAGGCTCTTAATTTTTTTAAGATTACCAAGAAGGGGAATACCTCGGTCAAATGGAACCTCTAGTTTTAGTTTTTGAGGAATTTCCACACAGATTGCACCAGTCTGCACTACCACCAATAGTGGAGAAGGGTTCCTTTTTTCCCCACAACCTCTCCAGCATTTGTTATTGGCTGATTTCTTTCTTTCTTTTTTTGGTACCAGGGATCAAACTCAGGTCCTTGCACTTGTGAAGCAGATGGCGGAACCACTGAGCTAAATCCCCGGTCCAGCTGATTTCTTGATAACAATCATTCTTTCTGGAGTGAGGTGGAATCTCAGCATTATTTTAATTTGCATCTCTCGAATGACCAGTGATGTTGAGCATTTTTTCATACATTTATTTTCCATTTCTACTTCATCTGAGAGGAGTCTATGCATCTCAGATGTCCATTTTTGGATTGGGTTTTTAAATTTGAGGGGTCTGATTTTTTTGAGGTGATCTCAGTTTTTCCTCCTCACAGTCACAGAGCAGCTGCATCATCCTTGGACCCAAAGTCACTTTTAAAGAACCTGCAAAGCAAATAGAAAATATTAAAGGAAGGGCCGGGGAGAAGAGCCTGGGTGTTTGAAAGCATCCCCTTCCTGGCTAAAGAGCCAGAGCCGCTTGAGCAGGAGAGGGGAAGGGGAATTTGGGGAAGGAAGGAAGTTAAACAGAAAAGGCACCTTTTCTGCAGAGGGGCAGCCTCTGCTGTTATTCATGTTGATGTTCTTCATGGAGATGAGAGTGATGCTGTCTTTCTCTCCATTGGCTGTGGAACAGCTAGGATGGAAGGGAGTCTGGGTCACAGAGAGGAGAGGGAGGGCAGTGGGAGTCAAGGAACTGGGGAGGGGCTTAGCCTTTGCTTCCCAAAAATTTGTATTTGGTGGCCAGAGATTTTCACCTGCCTCGCAAGCACAAGGTCCTGAGTTGGCTCCCCAGTACCGTTAAAAAAAAAAACCATCCTATATCTGAGAGGGGCACCACAATGGAATGAATGTGCTTTGAGGCCTCAAAAGTGTATTTAAAGGCCAGGCGTGGTCGCGCATGCCTGTAATCCTAGCACTCGGGAGGCTGAGGCAGGAGGATCGCTGTGAGTTCGAGACCAGCCTGGGCTACATAGTGAGTTCCAGTTCAGTCTCAACTACATAGTGAGACCCTGTCATTCCCCCCCGCAAAACAAAAACAAAAACAAAAAAAAACCCTGGTTCTACTACCTGCTATTGGTTTGACCAAGTTATAATCTCCCTTAAGCCTCATGTTTTGTTTCCCAGTACCAGGGAATGAACTCAGGAACTTGTGACTGCCAGGCAGGCAAGGTGCCACTGAGCTAAATCCCTGGCCCTTAAGCCTTATGTTTTACTTGTGTTTTTGTTTTTTTTTTTTTTTTGGTATCGGATTTTGAACTCGGGTCCTTGTGCTTGCAAGGCAGGCCACTGAACCGCTGAGCTAAATCCTCGGCTACTTGTGGTTTTTTGGAGGAAAGGTCTCACTGCGTAGTTCAGGCTGGCCTTGAACTCACTGTGTAGCCCAAGTTGGCCTCAAACGTGCTACATTCCTCCTGCCTCAGCCTCCAAAGTGCAGGGAATACAGGTGTGCATCACCACACCTGGCTTGTTTTCCTCTTGAAATGGGTAAATGAAGGGTCAGATGGAGGCTCCTTCCCTTATGCTCTGACAGTCTTACCTCTCAGATAGCCCCGAACTCCCTGGTTTCTGGGGGTCTGTAAAAACCAAGGACAGAGGCTAGGTCACATGCTGCAATTCTGAAGCCCAGCCTTCCCCTGAAAGCCCACCCAAGGGGACCCTCCCAGGCATCAGAGGGCTTATGTGCCATTCCCTCCCTTTTCCCAGGCTGGGTTTTAGCCTCAGCTTCTCTCTCTGGGTCCCCCGGTGTGAGGAGAGGGCACTGCAAATCAAGACAGGTACCTTCAGAATCCTTGTTCTTCCGACATTTAAACCTTAGACTGACCACACCCACTAGGACAATCACCACAACCACCAGGATGACAATGAAGCTGATAACACCTGAACAGGGTTAAAAATGGGATGAAGGGAGGTAGAGAGGGGACAACAAGAGGCCATGAGTGCAGATTCCCTTCCTGGCTAAGTGCTACATAGACAGGCTCTGGGAGTGAAGTGAGTTCCACTTTTCTGCTGAACCAATGGCCCTCAGTATGCTGCTCCTACCAGAGTGAGCTCCTGGCCAAGTTCTACCCTCCCATAAGAACTTAGAGGCTAGGTGGGCAGTGCCACACGCCTGTAATCCCAGCTCTGCTGGCAGCCGAGGCAGGGGGATTGCAAGTTCAAGCCCAGCCTGGGCATTTTAGTAAGAACCTGTCTCAAAATAAAAATTTAAAAAGGCTGAGATATAAAACAGTTGTAGAGCCCTTGCCTAGCATGTGCAAAGCCCAAAGTTTCATGTTCCAGTCTCAGCACTAACACACACATATACACAGAGACAGAGACAGAAAGAAACAGAGAGGAAGGAACCCAGCAGGGCCAAGAAAAGGGGCCACAATGGATGAGATTTGAATTTGTGTTCCCAGATCCACAGTCCAAGCCGTTTCCATGGGTGAAGGCTAGGGCTGTAGCTCAGGGGTACAGCTCCTGCCCAGCACGGATGAGGCCCTGAGTCCATCATCAGTATAAAAAATAATTCCACAGGTGGCATTTCCTCCCACTCCCCACCGTTCCCTCTTCTCTCACCAAAGGCAGCCACTGTGAGCACCGTTTCTGACGTGGGGCTGGGCAGGATGGTCAGGCTCATGGTGGTTGCATTGGGAGTAGCATTTTGAGATGTTTCTGGAATAGAGTGGGGTTGGAGCATCAGTGAATGGGACTGACTCAGCCTACAAGAGAGAGCTAGAAGGCCAGGGATTTAGTTCAGTGGTGCCGTTGCCTCCCTTGCAAGCTCAAGGACCTTAGTTCAATCCCCAGTACTGGAAAAAAAAAAAAAGTTCAGGACATTACCCACCATCCCCTGGGGCCCAAAGGAAAGGGATTTATGCTGAAGAACTAGGAAATCGATGGCCAAGGCAGAGCTATCTGTATTTTGCCAAGAGTTGAGAGAGGAAAGGGCAGCAGTGCTTATCCTTGGGCACTCATCCAACAAGCCAGCCTGCCTATTAGCGGGCACATGTTTCTGACTATCTTAAAGCAGTGGTGCCACCCCTCTCTTCTATTCAACTCATTGTACATCAGGCTGTACATCATTGTACGTCATTGCTGTTCCATTTACTCACCCACTCCATCAAATAAGTCCGGGGCTGTAAAAAAAATCAAAAGCCGCAGGAAAGTTGAGAGAAAGAATTACACATGTCACACCGCTCCTCTTTATTGTGAACACAAGGGGTCACCTCCCCTTGTGCTGCCTCCACTGCTGTGTAGGACACCTGAAACCAGTGGCCAAGATCGAAGGCAGACCTATCTCCTCAGCCTGTCTGGAGGAGAGGCTAGGCCTTCTTCAGCACTTTCTGCCTCCTTGCTCCTTCATTTTAGTGTTTCCTTGCCCTACCCACCTTTTCTTCTGAAATGTCCCTTTGACGCTTTTTTCAGTCCCAAATCCAGACTTGATTTACCTTCCCTATGACCAGGCCCAGCTTCCTGTCTCTATTCCACTCAAACCTCCGTTTCTCCCAAACCAGGGTGCCACTGATGTGGTTTGTGGCCTCAAAACCCCAGCACCTGGGCCTCCTGAGGAGGGGACAAAGGAACCCACGCAGGCATAACCCAGGGTGCTGCAGCCCTTACCCCGCCTTCCCTCGGTACTCACCAAGTTCTGACATGTTCTTCCGGGGCTGGGACTGTGTCAGGGCGAGTGACAGGGAGTGAGCGTCCTCGGAACTTGGCCTCGGTGTTCCAGGCTTATTTGACACCCAGGGCCTGTGCGAGGCCGTATGCGCAGCTGCTGTGGATTGGGGAGCACGAGCGCCCTGCTCAGGCACTCAGTGGACACTTGCACAGTGCATTAGCCCCAAATCCTCCTTTGCTTTGCTTCTTCCAGTTCCAGAAAGGGCCATTCTTGGCTCACCTCGGGGCCTCTACCTTTCCAGTTCACTCTGCCTGGGACATGGCTACCATTCTCTACCTCCTCCCTCCCTTCAGGGTGGCTCAGCTTCAGAGACTACTCCCTTGGGGAATGTCCCTGACCCCCATCAGAGGTGGCCTCCTCAGCTCCTGCCCAGGGCCCCTTCCCCTCTCCTTGTAACTACCAGTGTGAGGTCTTGTTGGCTTGGCAACCCCCCCTTCTCCTGAAGAGCCTGTAGTGAGCTTCCTCTCTGGGCCCTTCCTGGCATCTGTAGTCTCACCAGCTGAGTACCTGGGGCACTGGTGCTGAGCAGAAGGTTAGGGTTGCCAGGTTCTGGGGAAGATCTGTTTCCTGTAAGGACAAAACAAGATGTGAAGTTGAAGATGGGGCAGACTTGGCGACACCATACTCCCTTGCCCATCTGAGAACGCTCGGGCTCCAGCCCTTGGCTGGGGTGAGGCAGGGGGTGTCAGCCCCGGACAAGCACCCACACTCACCTGTGGAGGGAGAAGTTGGCTCTGTGACCAGACTTTGATTGCTGAAGTTTCCTGAAACAGATCATGGAGGCTGAGTAGTCCTCTACGTACTATTGCTCTGAGCCCCTCTCTTCTTCATTTATCTGATATCATCTGGTTTTTCTCCCTACCCCTCCTTGACCCTCAACCGTTATGCCTTTTAGGGCATGTCAGATGAGCCAACCTGAAAAACAACCCCTAGGATGAGCCCCTAAGAGCTCTGGCCCAGCCACAGGCCCCCAAGGTCAGTGCTACATGGGCCCAGAGCTCCTCTCATACCACCCGAAGCTCCTAGGCTGGACAATGGAGTAGACCTGTGAGTTCCACCTTACCCTGAGAAGTCTTTGTCATGGGTTGGGAGTTTTGGCCTACAAGAGAAGGAGAAACACAGGCTGTCTTGGGAAGTCTCCCGTGTCCCATGGCTGCTCAAGCCCCACCATGTTGGAAGGCAGACACACCAGCAGAGGACTAAAGGGAGTCATGGCGCTGGCTTCCTCTGAGACTGTGGCTCAGCTGCAGTATCACCACAGCCTTATGTTTCCAGGGCCAGAGTCCTTTCTGCTCTCTTCAATCCTCCATGGGTATTACACCAACAAAGTCAGGAGAAGGCCCTGAAGACAGAGGGCCAGTGACCTGCTGTGTCTGGACAAGAACCCAAGGCTCCAAGTGTCTAGGTTTATGTTCATCTTACGCCACTGCTGGGCCAATCCTTTTCCGCCGTGACGATTATTGTCTGGTTCTGCCTTAAGGGGAGGCAAGGGGACAGTGGGAAGGTGAATAAAATAGTTTGGGTTTAGGTTTTGTATAGGATCTTCTCTGCCCTCCCCAGCAGGGGGTAGGGGCTTGCCCAGGTAGTGAGTTCCGAGACAAGGAAGCTCTAGGAGGAGCTGCCAGTTTATTCTCACAGGCAGAAGCTATTGGGAAACTATCACTGTTGGCCAAACCCAGAGAGCAGTCAGTTAGCAGGAGTCCCCCTTGGAAGCCCTCATTAGCGGCTCTGCATGTATACAGCTGTCTGTGGGTGTCTGTGCAGATGTGTGCGTGCTTGTGCGTCCCACGGTGTGCGGGACCTGAAAGGTCAGGTTGTGTTTGCTCACTTTCCACAATGAAATCATTCTTGAAACCTGTGAACAATGTGAAAGGAAAACAAGTGGGGAAGTGGAGCCGCCCAGCTGGGTTCCCGTCCCTCCACTCAGCTTGGACTCACATCGCCGGGGAAGCACTGAGCCCAGGCCTGGGTGGACAGAGGCAGCTGGGTGCCAGGGGCCCAGCCCAGCTTGTAGCAGCCTGTGGTCTGTTTGTTTTTCTCAAACCACTGCCTTGCTCCACAGGGTTATCATTTGGACAGTATAGAATCCATCGTTTGCAAGCCCAAGCTTGCCCAAGCCCTGGGACGTGTTTTTCCAGGTTACATCTCTCACAACCCCATTTCTTGTGGGTAGGGGGTCCGGAGGAGAGTTAAAACTTGTAGGAACCCCCAGCCAGAGAGAGCCCTTTCTTGCTGGGTCTCAGCCTGAGGGAACCCTTTCCGTCCAAGTCATATCCTCTTAGTTAGATTCCATGGTACAGAAGTATCTAAGTGCTGTTAGTGATGGGAAGTCACAGTACACCTCCTTCCTGCAGTTACCTAGGAAAAATAACATCTAGCTGCTTGGGAGGATCTCCAAAGTTATAACATCAAGTCTCATTTGCTTGCCTTCTCTTTGCCTCCCGTCACCCACTCTCCCCAGCTTGTCACCTGTAAAGATTCCTTTGTGAGTAGGGGAGGGAGTTAGGGGACAGGCTGGGTCCCTGGACTACTGGGCATGTAGACATCCAAGAACTCTGGCCACAAACATTTCTGATTTTTCTGGTCTCTACTTTCTAACCCCAGCCTGTTTCATTTCTTTCCAATCTAACTCTCCATTTCTCTGTTTCCTCATCAGCATAGTTTAAAATTATAGCTTTTAGGAGCTAGATATTTAGCTCAGTGGTGCCACTGCCTGCCTCGCAAGCAAAAGGTCCTGAGTTCAATCTCCAATACTGAAAAAAAAATTAAAAATAAATAAATAAAAATCATAGATTTTAATTAATCAATTAATCTTGTACTGGGACCAAACCCAGGATCTTCATATTGAACTTTGTCCCCCAGTCTGAGTACCATATTTTATTTTGAGACAGGGTCTTAAAATGCTAAATTGCGGGCCGGGGATTTAGCTCAGTGGTGCCACCACCTGCCTCAGAAGCACAAGGTCCTGAGTTCAATCCTCGGTACCAAAAAAAAAAGAAAAAAAAAAAAAAAAAGAATAAACACCAAGATGCTGAATTGCCCAGGTGGGCTTGAACGTTCTATCCCCCTTCCTCAGCCTTCCAGGGTGCTGGGATTACAGGTGTGAGCCACCATGCCCAGTTTAAAAATCATACGTTTTAGAGTTTGATGGCTTGGATTTAAATCCTAGCTCAGTCATTCAGTGTCTGACTTGGACTTCAATTTTCTGTTCTTTAGACTGGAAGTGAGAGGCTTAGGGTGTATCTTACTGGTACAGCATGTGCTTAGCATGGACAAGGCTTTGGGTTGATCACTAGTGCATAAAAACCCAGCAGTATTAGTACTTTATAAAGTGTAAGGGGAAGAAAATGAATATAAAGCACTTAATACAGTGCTCAGTCACCACCAGACATCTTTTTTTTTTGCCTGATTCTCTCAGATCCTCTAAGTCCCCTTTCTATCCTGACTATATGTACAGTTAAGTCCCTTTGTGGGCATGAATATGCCCAAAAGATTCCTCAGTCCACCAACACAAAGACCCCTGCCCACCCAATCCCTCCCGCACTCTTTCTGCCACTTTACCCACAGCCTCATCAACCTGCCACAGAGCGCTTGGGGTGAGGGGTGGCTGAGGGGAAGTTGCTGCCCTGTGAGTCAGTGTCCTGGACATCTCATGGTTCCCAGCAACTGTGCCCTAAAGAGAGGGCCCCGCGTGCTGGCTGAGACCCGAGAACTGTTGTTCCCAAAGCATCTCCCTAGAGGTCATGTCAGCTCACACTCTGGGTGAGAAGATTGTTTACCCTCCTGGGTCAATCAGTAGTGTTTTGTGTCTAATCTGAGGCCCTCTTGTGATCTGAACTTAAAGTTAGCATTTGGAATTCCAGGGGTTGTTATTCCTCACAGGAAAGAAGAAAAAAGACCACCTATAGGGCCCAAGACGCAGCAGTTTAGGGCTGGAATAGTCTATAGAGTGATCCTGGCCCCCAGACCAGCCTGCATAAGTCCCACAGGGGAGCCTCACACCCAGCCAGCGGCTTCCCACCTCTCAGGGACAGCCTTTGTTCACCCTGGAAAATTTCCCACAAAAAGGTTTAAATATCCCTTTTGCCCCTGCCTGGAAATGCCCATCCTGCCTTCCCCTTCAAGGAAAGGCCCTGGGATTTCCGACCCTCAGGCAGCCCATGGATGGGAGCCCTTGAGGTGCGCGTCCCGGAGGGAGGCTGGGGGCTGTGGAAGGGCAGCGGCAGGCGCTCTCTTACCTCGGAGCATCAGCAAGCCCAGGATCGCCCAGCACAGCGGTGCGGCCCTGCGGGTGCCCATGTCAGCGGGGTGTGTGACCGGCAGGCAGCCGCTCAGCGGAGGCTCTGGCCATAGTGGAGAGGAGCAGGGCATGCAGGGCTGGGGTGGGGTGGGGGAGGCTCTCCTGGAGCTTCCTGTCGAAGAATAGAAGGAAACAGATTGGGACTGGCTCCAGGGGCCCTCCGCGCAGCCCACGGGAGGATGTGAGGCTGAGCAGAACCGCGCCGGTCTCTTCTAGGGCTTGGGCTCCACTACCCAAGTGGCAGTATGATTGTATCCCCGCTGTCCCCTCTGAGGGGTCCCTCCGTCCCTCTCTGCACCCTGCACCACCTGAGATTTTCCAGAGGTGCTGTTTCGGACCAGACCCTGCTCTCCAGGACTGAGCCGAAGCTGGGCCCACCAGCAGCCCGCGCCCTACGGACTGGGAATTCTCCACATTCCTCTGTCCCGGGCTCCCCATCCGGTTGGGACACCGCATCTCTCAGGGAGGCCTTGTGAACCCCGCTGTTATTCCTAGGAGAAAAGCAACAGGGGCCACATTCCAGGCACCCCTCTCTGACTCCTCACTCTGTTGGAGTTAGGTGTTCCCGGTCCTCCGGCAGCAGCCTGTGCTTAGTCTCCAGCAAGCAGTTATCTACATCCCATGATATCCATGCTGTTAATTTTTCCTGTACATCTAGGACCTGCACAAGCTGGGTGTGGTAGTGCATGCTTGTAATCCCGGCACTGGGAAGGTGGAGGCAGGAGGATCACCACAAGTTCAAGGCCAGCCTGGGCTACATAGCAAGACCCTGTCTAAAAAACAGAACAAAAAATAAATAAAAATAAAAATAAAAAACAAATTGAGCACTTAAAAAAAAAAAAAAGGCAGGGACAAGGGGAAATAATGAGAACCAAGATCTATCATGTAAAGGTACAAGATCCCAATGATGAATGTAACCGTACTGTATACCTAGAATGTACCAATAAACTCAATGAGAGAAAAAATAAACATAAAAAACAGAACAAAACAAAAACAAATGTAAGGACATAGGTTCATCCTACACAGAAGCCTTCCTCATTAGTATTAATTTTATCATTGTTGTGAATTTCTTTCCCAGTCCATATGCTTCCCAGTCTGTGACAATATTTGTATTTATATGTGTGCGTGATTGGAATCTCTCTCTCTCTCTCTCTCTCTTTTTTATTGTTGTTGAAACAGGAAGTGGCTTTGTAGTTCAGGCTGACCTTGAACTGACTAGCCCAGGCTAACCTAGAACTTGTGGCAATCCTTTTTAGCAGAAAGATCCTATCCAGAATTTCTCATTGCATGTCTCCTTATTCTTAAATCTTGACTAGTTCTTCAGTTTTACTATCACTTTCAGAACCTTAACAATTATTGTTTTTTTTTTTTTTACTTTTGTGAGACAGGGTCTTGCAATGTAGTTCATCCAAGCGTTGAACTCACTGTGCCACCCAGGCTGGCCTTGAACTCTCAGCAATCCTCCTGCTTCAGCCTCCCAAGTGTTGGGATTACAGGCGTGCACTACCATGCCAGGCTCAATTTTTACATGGTAAGGACTGAACCCAGGACTTTGAACATAGTAGATACCCTACCACTGAGCTAATAGTTTACTGTTTTATAGAATGTCCCTCACTTTCAGTTTGTCTGATGTTTCCTCATGAGCAGATTTAGGTTTGTATCTTTCGCAGAAATGTCACAGAAGTAATGCTATATCCTTCTCTGCATCCTATCAAGTGCTCCATGATTTTGATTTTTCCTGTTACTAACAATGTTCACATTGATTACTAATGGTGTCTGCCAAGGTATTTTTTTCCTGTGGCTACTATAACAAATTCCCTCCAACTGGTGAGTTTATTGAACAGAAATTTATTGTTCATAGGTCTAGAGGCCAGAGTTGGAATCAAGGTATCAGTAGAGCTATTCTGTCTCTGGAAGTTTAGGAGAGACTCTGCTCCTTGCCTCTCCCAGTTCCTGGTTGTTGTTGGGATTCTGGGGTGTCCTTGTCATTTTACTCCATGCCTCCTCCTTCACGTCACTGTCACCTCCAGGTCTTTTCTTTGTGATCCTTGGACGCTTGTCATTGAGTTTAGGGCCCTTCTGGATAAAATAACTTCCTCATGTCAAGGTCCTTAACTTCAGTCCATTTGCAAAGGCTCTTTTTCCAAAGAAGATAACATTCACAGGTTCTGGGTATGAAGATATGGGCATGTCAGGCCAGGCGTGGTGGCACAGGCCTGTAATCCCAGCACTGGGGAGGCTGAGGCAGGAGGATCACTGTGAGTTTGAGACCAGCCTGGGCTACGTAGTGAGTTCCAGGTCAGTCTCAACAACTACATAGGGAGACCCTGTCTA